GGGGGAGAGAGAAAGATAGAGAAAGAGAGAGAGAGAGAGAGAGAGAGAGAGAGAGGCGGTAGCAGTGGGTTACCGGCCGGCATCATGGACGATGGAGAAATACCGTAGCCAGCATCCACCCGACTACCACCACGCTGCCAACGACACCACTAATACCACCACTTCCACCACTACCACCATCAACATCAGAGAGACATTGGCATCGTTATCAACAACACATCGTCGCTTCAGTCTGTGAGCCCGAATTTCGCAACGGTGCACGTGAGAGAGATCGGCAGGGCTGATTCTTACTGTCGACTGCAAATTGGAGCTACAAGCCGCTTTTTCGAATGGCCGGTCCGACGAGAATTCGCCGACAGTGTTAAAGGGCCATCGATACGGCTTTACGTCCGTTTTCGATTTTCAGCCAATACTCCGATACGCTTCCGCCGCCCGAGCCTCCGCTTCGTTCTTTGATCTTTCGACTCAGGAATTTGTTGCCATTGAAACGGGAACGTTCGCAAATGATGCCCGTAGTTAACGATTCTTACTTTCCTCGATAAAAGAAAAACAAGTTACGACCGTCTCTCGTATTATGGAAACACGTCGTGTTTATACGAAATACGATACGTATATGTTGTTATTGCTCGTATTATGAAAATACGGTTAAGAATTGGAATAAGAATTATAGGATTCGATCGATGATAAAAATATTTCGATGGATTAATTACACGTTCGTACGTTCGAGATAAAATAAAAAATTGGAGTAGGAGGGGAATTAATAAACAAATTTGATGCATTTGTTTCGCGGCAATCAAGTTAACCGTAATTATTGCGCAGCCGGTAAAAGAAGAAAGGAACGAAGTACGGTGATCCGTTACAAGACTAGGGATAAACGATTTCGAACGATAGACGAAATCGTTTCCATCTAAAATAGTATCTCACTTTCATCTCGGATCCGTCCTCCTTTTGTAATTCATCAGCACGTAACTGGGGAATGAACCAAAGGGTTGGAAAAGAATCCTTCGAATCGTCGTTATGTGCGTTATATTATATACGGTACTCACGAAGGCAAAGCAGAAGCGTAGTTACGTCGAGACGCCGCATCCTTTCGTTGGCTTCGAATTGGAGAAACGTTCGGTTCGAAACTCACTCGGGAAGGAACTGAGCAGGAAGACCGTTCCGTATTTCAGAATCTTCACGTCGCTGTCATTCTATTTTTCTTCCGTATAAAGCTTGCTTGCGAACGAACACACTACACGAAACAAAACGAACGAACCGAACACCACGAAACGACGCGCGATACTGAGGGCCACTAACCCACGCCGCGTCCTAGCGACCCCTACTCACGGGGTTCACGGCCGATGCCCTGAATTACGCTCTTACCACCAGATGGCACCTTAAACTGACGCGCAATACGAGTTACCGACACATACGAAAATGATTCTCGTCCACGATTAGCGCGCGTTATTTTAAATTAAAAAAATTTCGATCAAAGAATCGTATCGTAGATTTCGTATCGCGTGAATCAGATTTTTTTTTAGGAATTTCGGATATTGCTCAAATTGAAGAAATTGACGATGATTACAATTCAAATTCGATATATTATCTCATACATTTTATTACACGTACGTCGTTGTCTCCCTCATAATTAATCATAATTGTCGTCAATATTATTTATAATAACAATCTAAACGATCATATACTTACATCCCTACATTCACTATATACTTTTTTTTATCACTTTACATATTGTTTTTTTTTTTTTTTAATCCGTACATCAACTTTCGTATTTGTGGGAATTCTCGAAGAAAAGTTTCGTTTCTTATACTGGCTTTGATCAAAAGGATCGTAAAATCGTAAAATATAAATTTCAACTCTCTAGCGGCACTCTATCGTGAGCATGTTCGAGAATATTTTATTTACAATACAGTATAATATCCAAGATGAAATGAATTAAAACCCCACAATGATTTAGATTACGGATGTGTTAGAATGAAAATAATAGTAATCTTCGGATAACGACGATCTCCCTATCAATTCATAATTATATTTCAGAAAAATGGTACATATGTACACAGACAGATCAGCGTGTCTTTCTATATATATATATGTATATATTTATATATAACTTATGTACATAGTATATGACGTAGTATTCGTACACGAACATATACATACATAACCTCTGCTGAGAAATCTTTTAACGAAGGGTCTACCTTATTTTATCGTTATTTCCTGCAAAATTCTATCTAACTACGTTAATTCCTCTGAAGGACACAAGGCTATTTATATTATATACATCAGAGGCCTTGATCGACATCGAAAGGTTCGGTCCTTTCGCAAAACGATTACCTTTGGCACAGTGCAGAATTAGAAAATTCGTGACTCGCACAATAGGATACGTTCACCAGATGCATTCTCATATGTATATAAACGGTATCACATGTATATAACACTAACCGTAAGCGGGAAGAAAAGATGAAATAATGTAAATCGCTCCATTCCCTCTTCTTAATACGATTTTAATCTTCAAAATATTTTTATGGATATTTATTACTTTACGAGATGACTAGGATTGTATAGTAACAACCGAACATACATCCAGAGGAAAGGAATATCTCGTATTTGCAGTCAAAATTATTATGAAATTGCACATTTTAACATGAGGAGACGATAAATCAGATACGTAAAAATTAAAAGATGAACCTGATTAAAGGAGAAAATTATTAAATCGAAATAGCTAATTTTAAACGAATAATTCGTTTCTCGCTTCTTTTCGTTCCATCGCATTCAATCGCATTATTCTCGATTTAAATTTCAACTTTGCGAATCCTTTTGAGAAGAGAATGGGTATGGCACTCTCGTTTCATCGGGTCATACCATAAAACATCGAGACCCAACGAATCAACGATATGTTTAAAATTAAGAGGACTGTCTTTGGCCATATTTCGCATTGTAACAATCTGCCATCGATTTTTCAAAGTCCGCTTAACTATTGTCGATGATATGTAGCCTTGATATCTCCATCAATTGGCGACTTTGATATTCACTTGCGATCGCCCCACCCGGCGCTGTTATAAAACCAGGACGAAGCGCTCTCGTCCCTCGTTTTACTCCATGTATTATCTAAACTACTGCCTCCTCCATCCTAAGAATAATTCAACGAGGTTACACCCGATACGAGGTTACGACCGATATAAATAACGAGTTTCTAAATATGAAAGGAATCCAGGCTTACCACAACGTTTAATTGATGCGTGGCAGGGGAGAGATAGTCCATGTTGGTATAATAAGAAGAATAATTTTGGTAGCATTGCTGTTGAGAGGTGGTTGTTGTCCATGCTAACCTCTGATGGTCACTAGGAAATCCACCACCGCTCTCCGTGACAGCCGGGCTCCAAATACTACTGCTACTGCCACCACTACTGTACACCGTTCCCCCTAACTAAAAAAGATCATTGTTCGAAAACTCTTTATCCACCGAGGGTAAAAGATCTTCGTAATAAGACTGTAAGGTCTTGGTCGATAACTTACACTTGGTGGGGTTGTACTGGCAGCCAAGAGCAAACTGGTTGCACTTCCTGCTGGTTTGTATTGCGGAGAATCCCTCAGGAGAGCCGGAGAACTAGCAGCAGAACCACCTGTACCTCCGCTTCTAAACAAATTAAAATTATAAAAAATATATAAAGCTAATATTCATTCAGAGTTGTTCACAATAAAATTTCCAATGTTAGTTATTTTAGATATACCATAGAAAAAGAAGAATTGGAGTTATAGATGAATTTGCTCGATTCTTATCGCTTAAATTTTTTTCTAAATTTATTTATTTTTTCTAAATTTATTTATTTTTTCTAAATTTATTTGTTTTTTCTAAATTTATTCGAGCGTATTTCGAGCTTTAACTCGGAAAAAGTAAGATAAAGGTATTAATGTAAACGATATTTACAGAGGTGTCGTGGCTGGTACAGCCGCTGCAGGCGTGGGTGTGGTAGCTATCGAAGGACTTTTTCCAGAGGGCGGATTATTGCTAGGATTTCCCGAAGGCTTCTTGGATCTTGGAGCTTTGTCCTGTTGTTGCTGTTGTTGCTTTTGCTGTTGTCTGCATTTGGCTCTGCGATTTTTGAACCATACCTACAAATTACCCACACATTAGCACATGTAATTTATGCGATAAATATAAAACATTTCGGAACAT